CAACTCCGATTGAATTAAAACAGGACGGAGAAATAAGTATACAACTCCGAGGTAATTAGAACAGGACGGAGAAAGAAGTATACAACTCCGAGGGAAATAGAACAGGACGGAGAAATAAATATACAACTCCGAGGGAATTAGAACAGGACGGAGAAATAAGTATACAACTCCGAGGGAGTTAGAACACGACGGAGAAATAAGTATACAACACCGAGGGAGTTAGAACACGACGAAGAAATAAGTATACAACTCCGATGGAATTAGAACAGGACGGAGAAAGAAGTATACAACTCCGAGGGAAATAGAACATGACGGAGAAATAAGTATACAACTCCGAGGGAATAAGAACAGGACGGAGAAATAAGTATACAACTCCGAGGGAGTTAGAACACGACGAAGAAATAAGTATACAACTCCGTGGGAATTAGAACAGGACGGAGAAAAATGTTTACATCTGTACGACACCGAGGAGGTTAAAAGAAGACGGAGAAATAAGTATACAACTCCGAGGGAATTAAAACAGGACGGAGAAATGAGTATAAAACTCCAGGGGAATTAGCACAGGACGGAGAAATAAGTATACCACACCGAGGGAATTAGAACAGGACGGAGAAATAAGTATACAACTGCGATGGAATTAGAACAAGACGGAGAAATAAGTATACAACTCCGAGGGAGTTAAAACACGACGAAGAAATAAGTATACGACTCCGATGGAATAAGAACAGGACGGATAAAGAAGTATGCAACTCCGAGGGAGTTAAAACACGACGAAGAAATAAGTATACAACTCCGTGGGAGTTAAAACACGACGAAGAAATAAGTATACAACTCCGAGGGAGTTAAAACACGACGAAGAAATAAGTATACGACTCCGATGGAATAAGAACAGGACGGATAGAGAAGTATACAATTCCGAGGGAATTAGTACAGGACGGAGAAATAAGTATACAACTCCGAGGGAATTAGAACAGGACAGAGAAATAAGTATACAACTCCGAGGGAGTTAAAACACGACGAAGAAATAAGTATACGACTCCGTTGGAATAAGAACAGGACGGAGAAAGAAGTATACAACTCCGAGGGAATTAGAACAGGACGGAGAAATAATCATAGAACTCCGAAGTATATGCAACATATGACAATGACTTGAACAACAGTACTGCCAGTTATATATATATATATATATATATTTAGCTAGTTCTTTATTGGCATCTTTTTTATCTGGTAGAGTATTGGACAGTTTGATAAGTGATAACTATATCAGCATTTTATCAACGTATCAAGGTTTTAATACCCACATCCACTCCGTTGTGATAAATAAGCTGTATCAGCATCTCTTATATATATTATATTGAATGGAGACCTCCTTAACTTATATTTGTGGTATGGCGACCTTGTATCTTTACTTCGTACGGATGCCAATAATATTTTCCTGTTATAATTATGCATTGCCAAAACAAAACCAGAGTACCAATAAACAAGAAGGAATTTGTCAATCACATTTAACAACAATAGTATTAAACCCACCGCCAGCTTCACGGTTTACTATTACAGATACGTAGAGCACAGATGCGATTACAAGCTGAATTTTGTCGTCAGAAGTTAAGATCCATGGGTATAGTCTCTGGCTATTATTATCATCATCATCATTATCATCATCAGCATCACCATCATCATCATCATCATTATCATCATCATCATCATCATCATCAACACAGTGGTGAGGCCAGCGTATCCAGGGAATGCCGTTTTCTGGCCAGGTGCGGCATCCTTCCGGGTGTTTTCTGTGGCATTTATTGGATTGTTTGTCACCGACGCTCTATAGCAGAGTCACGGCAGACATGGTAGTAGTCTCTTAGCGGCAGTAAATCTGGTAACGATGACTTTCATCATAAAATGTCTTTATGTATATGTCAAAGCATGTCTGGTAAAAAACAGTCTGGAAACTATGAAAATAAGAAAGAGGCGAAGCAACAGTGACATTTTACTCCCTCGTCAAAAAAGCTTTTATATGTGTGTTCACATGAGCAAGGTTTATGACCTTTTAAGTTCGATCGTGACTGTAAAGCGAGGCGAGGACTGTCAAATATTGAGATTAAAAAAATCATGGCGTTTGAAAAAAAAATGGATAGCACCTATTTTTCCTACATCCCCATTGGTTGGATTATAATCACGTGGAGGTCGGTGTGATATTAACCCGGTGTTACTATTTTTAGAAACAGCAGCTTACTAAGTCATTTCAATTGTAGGAAAGGGATGTAGGAAATTTATATCTAACACCCCATGAGAAGAAAAAGCGAGAAGTCCAAATGAACATGTTAAACGAGAACGGAGTGATATGGGTAGCCTATTGATCGATCAACTTCTAGGCCATCAATTACGTGGCAGAGGTGTTGGTTAATTACAAAACTTCGTTCGGTTAATTAGAAATGTATGCCCAATGATACGTGATCCTCTATGAGTGTCAGACATGTAAAACCTTAAATAAAAAAAAGGTTTAACTCTGTAAGCGATGAGTTTTACGGACACTCAAACATGATAAAGATTATAAGACTCTTTCATTCCCAGGGGTGTAGGATAGGGAAATTCAACCAGAGTGTTTTTCAAATTTTGTAAAACCCGAATTTAAGGTTTTACCCAATTTGAAAACCCCTCGGATGGAATTTCCCTATCCTACATCCTTGGGCATGAGAGAGTATATTTTTCTCTTACCCTGGACAGGCTTATCCACAATTTTACCCATGTGAGATTTTCTTATCTCACCCTAGGGTTGAAACAAGCTACACGTGTTCTTTGCACGTTCTCAACAATTGTATGACGTCATAGCAACAATACCATGACGTAACGGCAACAATACAATGACGTCACGTCGACATTTCAGCCGCATCACATCAACATTGTCTTGCATTGATGTAACATCTATATAAAATACATAAGAGAGCGAACAGTATAAGAGAAAAATAATAATTCACCCCCTTGGGAGTGAGACAGGGCGATCTCAACCCTCGGGGTAAGATTCTTAAGCTTCCCCCGAAAGAATCTTACCCTTCGGGTTGAGATTACCCTTTCTCTTACCCTGGACAGGTGTATCCGCATTTTTACCGGTGTGAGATTTCCTTGTCTCACCCTAGGGTTCAGACGGGGGGATTCCCCTATTCATAACAATGGCATGACGTCACTTTAACAATAAAATGACGTCTCGTCAACAATCCATCAACGTCACGTCAACCCTGAATTTAGCATGTAACGTTATCATAACAGTGTGTATATGATACACAATGAGAGAACAGGGTAAGAGAAAAAGAATCATTCAAAGCCTCGTGTTTGGCAACTTAAGAATCCTCCCCCTCGGGTTGAGATTCTCCTATCTCACCCCCAAGGGGGTGAAATATTCTATTAATCCTACATCCCTTTCTTACGCTGGACTTATAGAATCTTCCCCTATCTTGAGGGTGTGACCGAGAAATTCCGTAACCCGAGGGGTGATGTTTTTTGTTTGTCTAAGCCGAAGCTCTGCCGAGGTTAGACAACCAAAACAATCCCCCAGGGTTGGAGATTGCTCTGCTACACCCTTAAGGCAGGGGATAAATATTTTTCTCACATCCTATTATTTCAGTCACAACTTCACCGACACCAACACATGTGAGTTATGAATATCGTCATTCATTTTTGATGACGTCACACTTACCGGCGACACATTTAAATGACGTCACAATTGAACACGCGGTAATCGGCACGTGGCTACCTCCCCCTAGGGGGTGACAAGTTGATCTTTCCCGGCTTAAACGGGAGGATGGATGTGAAGTATGGGAGAAAGCTTTATCTTACACACATGGAAATGAAAGAAAAGACAATATTACATGAGTTTAACTATCATAAAATAAGGTTTAGTGTAGATATGTAAACATAGATTTGTAACGATTTGTGATATTGTGGGATAACAAAGTTCCACTGATTACTCAGCCATGTAATATAAATTTGTTTTAGAAAGAAATTCCTCAACTCTTAACCGTTTTATATTTTATTTTTCTTAATAACTATTGTTATCATATTATTTTCCTGAATACACACGCCCACGTATCTGAACAACACGGGCGCGAGGGGTTGGACCCGGGAATGATGCCTTCACACTGACATTCGCCTTTTTTATTGTATTCATTCATTCTGTACTCTTACATAAAATCTAACCTCAGCCCGTGTTTAATTATAAAATCATCTCACCCTAGTTAGACTAGCATGATGAACAAGAGTGACTCGTTGAACAACCTCTATGTACAGAACGAACTGTTTCCGTATCGACTATGATAAAGTCACCCCTGTGTATAAGACAGCTGTATTACATTTATAATATTGGTAATTCCCAGTATGAAGTTTATCATGTTGCTTTGCCTTGTTCTGGAGTATCTCCCGGTTTTTTTTAACTGTGGTAGAATCAGCATGTTAACCTTCTTAACGAGATCTTTCCAGTAAATCTAACCACGTCTACCAATCCTTGTACATCTAGTAGACGTCAACCAATGAACACGTGGTGTAATATAACTAATCATCCAATAACGGCTTCTTAAGGACCCCACTACATTGTACGTTATCCCAGCCTCTGATTCGACAACAATACTGGTGTCGTAAAGCAGCAGGCGCGATTCTAGCGATTCTATCGCGTCTTGTTGCTGAGCGTCTCCGGATGGCTGTGAAATTGGCTAAGAAGCTTAAAAATGAGAAGGAGAATTCAGTGATGACTTTGCCAGAACAAACGCTCCATATATATGTCTTAGGGATAAATTTCATCGTGATTTGAATTATCGGAAAACGATTATAAAATCTACGGATAGAGAAATAAAAAGACAAAACAAATCTGGTAGTTTTCAATTGCATATCGTATAGGATGATTTACCATTATTTCCGTACGTACATGTAGTGCGGTGCCATTTGATACAAATTGATATCGCCCAGCAGCGAGACATTGATTTAGCCCAGTCGCACAGTACGGGAAGCTCCGATCCGGGTAACAGATGCGGCCAAGAGTCGCTTCTGATCCGTCTTACCTTACAAATCGGCGAATCTGTTTCTGTCCTGGTGCACTATTTCTAACAGTTTAATTGCTGTATGATATTCCTCCGCATCACGTTCTGGGTATCATATACAACCCTGAGTCGGCCAGTAAGGCGTATGGATACGGAGGATCAGCCTAATTGTATTTTGGATTATAAATGACTGTTTTTCAATACGCTCTAACATCTGTTTCATGACGTCGTCAGTGAATCCCGAATTTAAATTGCACGTGCGGGATTAGTGTTCGACGCTTAAAACATCGATTCGGAGACTAAAAGAATACGTATATCGGGGAACCGGGTGAAGGGGTATCGGACCTGCGGAATCAAGGTAAAGTCTTACCTGTTCAACTAGCTCCGCGGGCGCAAAAACCAACGGAGGAGACTTAATATTGAGGAAACACGTAAGTAAACACATCTTTATTTCTCCTACCTATTGTCTGATTTGTTTCATTTAACATATGGTCGCGTAGTAAATGTTAGTACAACGAACGTAACAAGAGAGTGAACGATTTATATCAAAATATTGTTCGGCGTAACTTTGACGAATCGCAAACATACAATTAAGATTTTATCACTGTTAAAATTATGATAATAATTTTGACTTTAAACCAAGCCGCAGGTCTGCACAATCTCAAATGTACATTGTGGCCACGTTATCATTATAAAAGCTGAAAACAATCTCATTCTCTAAGGATTCTTCTATAACATATCATCACATCACAGTTCTAACACGTCAACTACTCTGATAACAATTCTTACAGACGCTATTTTGATCAGGTACTTTATGACCTCAGAAAAGGTTAAGCTAATTGATATAATTATATGCATGCTACTCTTTTTCATAGTAGAGTTACGATTCTATCTATAAGGGCAATACTTAAAGACACTATGCATGGTGGTATAGATCGGAACCAAACGAAATCAAACATATGTGCTGGCAACTAAATGATATATCAGATGAAGTTTAAATACTTAAGTATCACATGGGAATGTTACCGCCCTTGTAGCCGGAATGAAATAACTTTTTAACTATGTGCCTTAACGAAGACTGCGGCTATCCTTTGGTGTTCTGCTGTACAGGTGGAGGGTTGTACGTTTGTCGGAACTTAATAGAATATCGACATGTAGGCATGGTACATCTAAACGCCGGTAACGGTCTGGAGATGTAACTAGTTTACATTATGTGATCCTTTAGATCGGTATCGACGGAGGATGTTTGAAAAAACCTTCAAAGCACAATATAACAGATGAAACTTGAAGATACTCGTCAAAACAGCGTCAAGTCAACATGTTGCCTCGTCCCAATTAGGGAACAACGATGTTGCAAAGTTAGTTATAGTCTAGCTTGTCATAGTGCCGTCAGTGTGTTGATTACATTTGTGACTTAAAACAGTTATGATGTGATGTCACTGTATACACCAGACGAGTTTTACATTTGTGTAAGAGAGTTCTAAAGTGACGTCAATTTATTTATTTACTTTTAGCCTTAATACAGTTATAAGGTCGCGTTTTTATTCCAGTCGAGTCCTTCGAGTGTTATAAAATGACGTCCATTTATTTATTACATTTGAGCCATATAACACAGCCAAGTCATGAGATAGTTTTGAAGTGACGTCAAATTATTTTATTTCTTTGAGCCTTTAAACAGTTATAAGATAGTGCTTTTTCCCTGTTGAGTCTTAAGAGAGTTCAAAAGTGATATTAATTTATGTAATTTATTTGAGCCTAAATCATTCCTAAGGTGGCGTTTTCCCTGTTGAGTCCTTAGACATCTCTTAAGTGACGTCAATTTATTTATTTCATTCAACCTTACTCAGTTACAAGGTGCTGCGTTAACACAGCCGAGTCTTTAGACAGTGATAAAGTGACGTCATTTTTTAAAAAAAATTATTTGAGCCTTAAAACAGTCTTAGGGTGACATGTTTATTCCAGTCGATCCTTTCGACAATTCTTCAGTGACGTCAATTTTTGTATTTTTAGCTTAAAACATGTATAAAGTAGCGTTTTTTTCCTGTTGAGTCTTTAGAGAGTTCTAAAGTGAATTTGTTTCATTTCTATGAGCCTTAAAACAGTCATAGGATGACCTGTTTAATAAAGTCAAGACTTTAGAGATCTCTGAAGTGACGTCAATTTCTTTATTTCATTTAACCCTACTCAGTTACAAGGTGCTGTGTTAACACAGCCGAGTCTTTAGACAGTGATAAAGTGACGTATTTTTTTTTATCTTTGAGCCTTAAAAAGTTACAATGTGGCGTGTTTATTCTGGTAGAGTCTTTAGAGATTTCAAAAGTGACGTGAATATTTTTTTTCATTTGAGCCTTAAATCATTTACAAGGCGGCGTGAGAACACAGACAAGTCTTTAAACAGTTCTAATGTGACGTCAGTTTCTTTATTTTATTCGAGTTTTGAAAAGTTATAAGTTGACGTGTTTATCCAGTTGAGTCTTTAGAGATTTTTTAAGTGACGTGAATCTATTTTATTTCTTTGAGCCTTAGAACAGTCCTAGGGTGACCTGCTTCTTCAGCGACGTCAATTTATGTAATTTATTTGAGCCTAAACAAAAATTTCGGTTGAGCCTTTAGAGAGTTTTGAAGTGAATTTATTTTATTTTTATGGGCCTTAAACCAGTTATAAAATGACCTGTTTTATAAAGTCAAGACTTTAGATAGTTCCTAAGTGACGACAATTTATTTGTTACATTCGAGCTTTAAAGAGTTATACGTGACTTGTTTCTCCAGTCGAGTCTTTCGAGAGATCTAAAGCGACGTCAATTTAAGGTGACGTGGTTATCACAGTCGAGTAAATCGGGAGTTCTTTACCTTTAAACATGTATACAGTTACAAAATGACACAAGAGTGAATACAAATCTGGTCTGAAGGCAATAATGATAGTAACGCCGAGAGTACACCGGCTATCGTCAGTGAAACGAAACCCGCATGGTTGGAGTCATGTAGGCGATAAACCAGTCAACTAACCAACTAACTAGCAACAATGCTGTAACGTGTTTAAGCGCTGTCTTTATATAGTTATAATGTGACCTCGGCCTATTTTGTCTCTAGTTAATTAAGTATCGCCATGACGGAGCCCTATGTTATTTTTTATTTAAGCATTATGATTTTTTTGCTTGCAAAGCTGTGTCATACAAATAGATCATAAATACCATACAAAAACAGTTCAATACTTATATTTACGTTTTCTCTGCCTCTTATGTTCTTTTTTAACTTATAGTTTATATTTAAAATTACAAATGCCCGCCTTATCGACAGTCCACACAATTTTGTTCAATAGTTTGAATAGCGTATTGTCGCGTGCTGATTGGCAAACAAAGTAGTACTTTGAAGTTTTAACAAACACTTCAATTTTATTCCACAATTCAGTATCAATACAATTGCGTATGATATGAATATAGGGTGATTTAAGTTTATCAATAGAACTCTGAGCTGAAAGTTAGATTTTAAATTGTTTCGATTTTCCCCCGGAACAAATTAGGCGCATTGACAAATACAGTGAACACCGTAAATCCGACCTTGCCCTCCACGAGGGAGTTATTTTTGGAAGTTTATTCGAACTTTTCTATTTGCTCATTTTGTGAAGAATCCAGGCGTGAATTTATTTGTTGATTGTATGGGGACCTGACAACAGTCGGTAGATTCTATAACAGCCTCGATATTTGACCTGTCGTCAGAATTAAACTGAGGACGAACCGTAGATGCGAGACGCGTGAAACTGATAGCGTTTGAAGTGGGTGATCTTGCGACGGAGCACAGGTTCGTTACAAACGTCTGAAATGTTTACGCTGTGACTCATATCAGTAGGTCTGTAACATATGTGCCAGTAGGTCTATAGAATATGTGTATTTCAGACATTTGTAACGAACCTCTGTTGACCAGTGCAGTGTAACAGACGATATTTCTGATAAATTGCATGAGCGTTAAAATTGTTTCCATTGCCGGCATTGGTGATTTCAACCGATGTGCATTTTGTACGATATTGCAGACCTTGGTCTTGTGTTCGTTGTAATAAAAGTGTTTTTTATTTTATTTTTAATTTTGCACATAAATTTACAATGGCATTGTCAAATCTCACAATGCCCAGCGATATTTCAGCAGCCGTCATGTTTATTTATACTGGATATTGTAGTTCCGGTCAGTATTGTATTAATACGCTTTAGAATTGTGTCTCGTGATGCAAGGTAATTAAAGTCCCATCAACGACACAGCTTTCAAAGAGGCTATATAGTGACAATCATAATCACGTGGAGGTCGGTGATCTGTTATTGTAACTCGTTGTTTCTACTTTATGTAACAACAGGTCAAGATATAATCAAATATATTTAACGATTAACTTGAATATAAATTTTATGTTATGGAGATATAACGCAAAAAAACGGAGTGTACTCTAAATAAATCGCGAGCGGTTTATGATGAGAGTACACTTCGCTATTTTGTGTTATAGCTATACACAATCCCTGTGACACTCCACTTTAATTGATGGACTCTTTTCTCTTATAAATTATTACGCCGCTGTATCAGCCAATCAAAGGCGACGTTACAAACGGCGACGTCATTTTTTTACGTTATGAGCCGATAATATAAGTTTTTAAGCCAACGAAAATGCTTGTTACAAGCAGAATTAAAAAATATATACATAATAGTTTGTGACGTCAATTCAATTGAATCGTCACGGTGATCTCTGCAAAATGCCGTACCGTTTTCCTGCTTTTCCATCTATACGATTTCATCTTGCCTAATGATAAACGATATTATCTCATGTTTCGGTCAATAACTCTTTTCTTAAGTTAGTGTTCATTCTAACCAATACATCCATATCATCATTATCAAAAATAACAATAATAATAAACAGCATTTGATATAGCGTCCCTGCAGGTAGGGCGTAATAATTGTACCTGCTACCCCCATTGCATGATCGTAAGAGGCGACTAAATTTGAGATCTTATTTTTTCTCTTCTTTCTAAACAACTTCCTTCCTCCCAATGTCTCCCTAGTCAATGCCTCACTTGTGGCCTTTAGTTGAGCGTTCGCTCCTATGATGAAGGCTTTGGGTTCTGTCTCCTGGCCGAGCCATACCAGGGTCTGTAAAAATAGTAGTTTCTTCTCCTGCTTAACGCTCAGCAATTTAGGAGTAGGACGACTGGTTCGCCCGTTGTCAGTATGATGTGACCAGGTGGGTTGTCCTGTTGGGTATCTTCGGCAGTATGTTTCAGTGAGGTAGCACTGTAAAGTCGGCATCAGTTCCGCGCTATCACAAGGAAACAAACACGAGCATATCGCAGCCACCCAAAATACACACGCATACACTGCACGTATGCATCTTGCACATATGGGAGGCCGTCCTTAAATGACCATAGCTGCTGATTGGACGTTAAACAATACTAAACAA